GTGAGTGCCGGGAGCGCTGCTGGAGCTGTGCAGCAGAGGAAGGACAATCCCATGGGACAGAGCCCGGGTGTCCTGGGAGCTGCTGACCCGGGCGAGAGGAGCCACAGTCCCCATCAGGTGAGTGAGTCCTGCGGGGTCACCCACTGCTCCTGTCACAGACAGAGGATTCACCACCTCATCCCATTCCTGATCCCTTCCTTCAGTGTCTGCTGATGGGAGCTGGGTGAAGGGATGATAAATCCTTTTGGGTGGCGGCTTCTGTGTTCTTTCCTGTTCCCAAAGCCCCGTGCAAATCCCATTTCTGTGGCAGTAATGCTCACAGCCCTCCCCCCTCTCCCCCTACCCAGGGTGTCACAGCTCTGGTGGCATTGGCTGAGCCCTGGAGCCCTTGGCTTCCCTGTTAATTCTGGCCTCTCCTTGTAGCTGTCACAGCAGTACCTCAGTAGCTCCCAGTTCAGTGTGATGTYTGGTCTTTGTTTCCTAGGATGGTGCAAACCCAGACCCAGCTGTCACATCCTCAGAACAGCTTCAGGATGGGGAAGAAACTCTGCTCTGAGCTTTTTCTGCAGCTTCTCAGTGCTGTGTCCTCATCTGGCTGTGGGTTTGTGCCACTCCTCTGCTCACTCCTGAGTTGGGATCCTGTCCCTGCTCTGTTCACTCTGTGAGTACCACAACCACTTCTCCCATTTCACCAGAGCAGCTCCTCAGCTGGAGCCAGCCCAGGAAGCAGCAGTGCTTTGGAATGATGAAGTGCTCTGGAATGATGAAGTGCTCTGGAATGGTGAAGTGCTTTGGAATGATGAAGTCAGTCATCACAAGGATTGTTCCACGGCTGTCTTGTTTGTTTTTCTGAAGAACCAGAGAGGTACTGGACTGACTGAACCTCCCCTTCTCCCCATGCACCATTTGCCCCTGCAGGGGGACAGTTTTAGCCTGGGAGCTTCCCCAGCCATGTCAGAGGAGGGGACCCTCCTGTACCCACAGTGCCCAGGGGATGTGTGGGGCTTCTCTCTTGGGTATCCTGGCTTGTTGCTGGCCACACTTCAGGGCATTCTTGGCACCTTAAAATGTTGTTAAAAATTGTTAAATCATAACTATTCTAACAGGTATTTGAGCTTGGTGGGTGCAGGAGACTCAGCCCCACACCATGGGGGGCTGTAACTGCTTTTTTTAAGTAGGGAAATGACACAAGAATGAGCAGGATTTCAAATGGATTGGTGCTGTGAGGCACTTGAGATTAATAYACCTGGAAATGCAAACTGAAATGTGTTAAAAGTGGTTGCTGTGTGTTTCCTCCTAGAGACATTTCTGTACTAGAGATGTTGCATTTGTGTGTTCAGTCTGCACACATTTGTGCTAAGGACTGTCTCAGAGGGCTGTGTTTTCTGTGTCCATATCCCACCTGCACGTTTGCTCAGGTCCATTAAATCCCTGTCCCAGTTTGAGCAGCTCTTTCAGCGTTTGCCATGGTTTAACTCCAGCAATAATCCTGCAGTGCACAGGGCTGGGCTGTACCTGTGTGTGCTTTCCAGTGGATGTTGGGCTCAGTGTGAGTGCCCAAAGCTGCCCTGTGCAGTGCCCCTGGAAAGCTCAGGGCTGTGGCTGTACCTGTCTGTGCTTTCCAGTGGATGTTGGGCTCAGTGTGAGTGCCCAAAGCTGCCCTGTGCAGTGCCCCTGGAAAGCTCAGGGCTGTGGCTGTTCCTGTCTGTGCTTTCCAGTGGATGTTGGGCTCAGTGTGAGTGCCCAAAGCTGCCCTGTGCAGTGCCCCTGGAAAGCTCAGGGCTGTCCAAGCCAAGGCCACCTGCTCTGAGCTCTGCAATATAACTGATGTCTCTTTAATTTCATCTCATTTTGTTACAAGAGCCCAAGATGGAAGCGCAGCATTGCCATGATCCAGAACAGCAGCACAGAACCAAACCCAGCCCTGGGCAGAGCAGAGGGAGGTGCAACAGCAGAATGCAGGACAGGGACATTTGTCACCAACACTGTTCACTCAGGATGGCAGTGTCACTCAGGATGGCAGTGTCAGGATGGCTGTGTCTGTCACTCAGGGATGGCAGTGACACTCGGGATGGCAGTGACACTCAGGGATGGCAGTGACACTCAGGGATGGCAGTGACACTCAGGGATGGCAGTGTCAGGATGGCAGTGTCACTCAGGGATGGCAGTGTCACTCAGGGATGGCAGTGACACTCAGGATGGCAGTGTCACTCAGGGATGGCAGTGACACTCAGGGATGGCAGTGACACTCAGGGCTCTCTGGTGACACAGGGACAGTTCCTCTCTCAGCTGCTGTCCTCAAAGCTGCCGCTGCTGCCCCAGGAGTGGAACCTGATGGTGCTCAGGGGGTCTGCCACGTACCCTGCTGGGACAGAGGGTGACAGCACTCAGCACTCCCTGCAGTGCCAGGAGCTGTCCCTGCTCTGGAGCTCACAGAGCTCTGCTGGAGCTCACTCACCGTTTTTATCCACAGATGGGTACTGGAAGCTCCTCCTCATGTCCTCCAGAGCCAGGCCCTGGGCAGGGGACTGCCCGCTGCTGGGTGGAAACAGGGGGGACAGTTTAGAGAAGGCTGTGATGGCACAGCTCCACGATACAACAACTCTTTCTCCAGAGTGCAGGGAAAGAACAGGACCATAAACCATCAGCCTGAGGCTGGGACACAGCAGTGCAGTAAACAAAAATCAAAAATAAGTCATGAAGTGAGACCATGGCCCCCAGGCACACTCATTCACCCTTCTCAGTGTAACTGCCCTCAAATACCCCATTTGGGGCTTCACAGCTGTCTCTGGATTGCCATCCTGGAAACAATTCCAGGCATCAGTCCAGGGTTATTGAAATGTATTTTATGTGCCACTGCTAAAAGGTTCTTGCAAATACATYGCTTGGGCAAGGAAGATTGTGGAATTATCTTCCTGTCATAGACCAAACCCTCTGTCCTGACAAAATGCTGTGCATCCTTCATCCTAGACATGGGAATTGTTGTGTTTGCCCTTGAAATCAGTTCTCCCAGTGTAGGGTATAATACCTCAGGTATTTACTCAATGGTACCAAATTAGAGAGAACCCATGTGTGTTTCTGCYTTATAAAACATCAGAAGTTCTTCTTAACCTTCTGTGGGCATGAAATGAGTGATACACAGTTTTTAGGATGCACCCAGGCAGGAACAGTCCCAGCAACGCTGACTCTCACAAACCTCTGTGATGCTGCTCCTTACATTATTGACTCCTGCCTGTGTATCTGCTGGAGAGGCAGTACCCACCCCCAGTACCCATCCTGCAGTGCCTGCAGTACCCACCCTGACCCCCAGTACCCCCATACCCACCCCTGACCCCATACCCACCCCTGGCAGCAGAACCATCCCCATACCCACCCCTGGCAGCAGTACCCATCACACAGTACCCCATACCCACCCCTGGCAGCAGGCAGTCAATGCTCTGGCGTTCAGGGCGTACTCCAGCTCGAAGCGGCTGCGCAGGGCAGCGACGTGGCTGCGCCCCGGAGCCCCCCGTGCCACCAGACAGTCTGAKGAGGAGGAGGGGGACAGGGACCCGCTGCTGTTGCTGGAGGCTGGAGACATTAACTGCGGTTAAAAACACAAAAGGGTATCATTATGATATATTTACAAGTCCTTTCTCATCTCTCTCTCATAAGCTGTATCCCACTTTTCCCTGGACTTTTCCAGCAGCTCCAAAGTCACTGCTGTCCTCAGCTGCTGCCTCTGTCCCCTCTGTTTGTACACACAGACCCCCATCACAGGGAGCCAAATCCTTACCTCAATATTGCACAGACACTCCTCCAACTTTGTAACCACCTCTGAAAACTCTGGTCTCCCCTGTGGACAAACAGGAAAAGCAGGGTCATCCATCAGATGACTGGGCAAAACCTGACTGAGGTGATCTCAGTGGTTCCTTCTCTAAGAGATTGGTTAAAAAACCAAATCTGACCATTGACATGACCCCGAAGCCCAGTGTACAAAGTGTTCACAATCATTTATTGCACATAAAGCAGMTGACAAGCCCTGCCAGCTCCAATGAAACGTGATCAGAATCCATGGGATCTGCCCTTCAGACACCACAGAACAGACTGGAACTTTAAATTGCACTCGGTAATACAAAAACATTTACTGTACAGAGCTCAGCCCCACGCCTCACGGCAAATTCCCTGGCTCTAATCAAAGCTCACAGATCCAATTAGGCAATGAAAAAGCTTCTCAGGAGATGCTGCTGAACCTGTCACAGTTTGCTYTGGAAACAGCTGCCATCAAAAGTTTCTGGGAAACAGATGTTCAAGTACTTGATAACAGAAACAATGACATGGCACACAGGAACTAGTTTTCATCTGGGATCAGCCTTGAATGAAATTAAAGACAAATAAAAGGATACATTTTTTAATTTGGAGGCATTTCATGGCCATCCAGCAAAACCCCTACAAGTATACTCTGATTTCTTTAAACTGAGCAGACTTTGTGGAGAATTTAGACTCATCAACACTTATTGAGCCCCAAAACTCACCATTTTCCCTTAACAAATGGTAGCAAAACACCTTTAGTAAAGCTAAATAGAGCCTAATAAAGGCCAGTAGCAAAAAACCTTTAATACCAGTAATTTTACCAAGGTCTCGCTCACATCTTGTGCAAAGTTGATGGGCTGACTGAGCTGTCCATTGCTTTATAGCTCTGTCCTGAAACTCTAAAACATTGGGAGGATAAAGTGACATTTGAGTCATGCTGATGGGTAATAAACTACACTGGGACTCTGGAAAGATGATTTCTCCTTATAGGGCTGAGTGGATGTGGGAWTGCTGAAAATACAGAGGGACTGCACTCATCTCAGTGCTTGCTTAACACTTTAATATGGAACCTTATTAATAAATTCAAAATGAATGTGTGTTACCTGCTGTCAATAGCAGTTCCTTATAAAAATCTCAGAGCAGCAAGGAATTTTCTACTCATTCTATAACAGCTCAAGTCCTAATCAGCATTACTTGATTAATTAAGTTTTGTTGAAAGGCCRAATGTTAATTTTCTTTCCTCCTCAATTCACCATCTCTGCTGTATTTCCTGACACACCCCAWTCTGTGTCTGGAGGCTTTCTGCAGTGACCCTCCCCAGTGAAACTCTGATTTTGGGGTGTCAGCCAGAGAAATGAGCCCGTTTTGCTGCTGCCAGGAGCACTCACCTCAGGACAGGCGTTCCAGCCCCTGATGAGCAGCGTGGAGATGGGTTTGGGGATGGAGTAGCCGATGGGGGGGCGGATGTGGTGATAGGCCATGTCTGCTGCTGCTGCTGCTGCAAGGGACAGCCAGGGACATGTCAGAGCCCAGAGACATGTCAGAGCCCAGGGACAGATCAGAGCCCCGGGACACATTTACCCACCCCAGGGACAGCAAGGGACATGTCAGAGCTCAGGGACACATCAGAGCCCCAGGGACACATCCACCCACCACTGGGACATGTCAGAGCTCCAGGGACAGCCCAGGGACACATCAGAGCCCCAGGGACACATCTACCTGTCACTGAGACACATCCACCCATCACTGGGACAGCAAGGGACATGTCAGAGCCCAGGGACAGATCAGAGCCCCAGGGACAGATCAGGGACATGTCAGAGCCCAGGGACAGATCAGAGCCCCAGAGACAGATCAGAGCCCCAGAGACAGCCCAGGGACACATTTACCCACCCCAGGGACAGCCAGGGACATGTCAGAGCCCAGGGACAGATCAGAGCCCCAGGGACATGTCAGAGACCAGGGACAGCCCAGGGACAGATCCACCCATCCCAGGGACAGCAAGGGACATGTCAGAGCCCAGGGACACATCTACCCACCCCAGGGACACATCTACCTGCTACTGGGACAGCCCAGGGACACATCAGAGTTCCAGGGACACATCAGAGCCCAGGGACAGCCCAGGGACACATCAGAGCCCCAGGGACAGCCAGCAGCACGGGAATGCTGAGCCAGCCCACCACCAAAGGCCTAGAGTTAAATGGGTTTTCCATTCAGGCTGAGAGCAGGGGCCCGTCCCCATCACCACGGGCACAGGACACTCAGGTCACAGTCAGACAGTGAGGGTCCATTGGCAGAAGGATCCAAACCCTCCCTCTTTACCCACTCTGGCTCTGAGCCCGTCCTGCAGTGCCAGGASCGATAACAAATCCTGACAGACACACAGGGTGAGAATCTCAGGAGAGCAAAATGCAGCCCTGGAGATGTGGATCTGCTGCTGTACCACCCCTGCCCCCTGTTTGTGGGAGCTGTCCTGAGGCAAACAAGATGTACTGAGGAATGGCAAACAAAATGCACTGAGGAATGGCAAACAAGATGTACTGAGGAATGGCTTTGCAACCCCAACACCCACGAGAGAGATAAAAAAGCCTGTGGTCTGAGTGTCTTGTTCCTTGTCCTAGACCCAGACAGGACAGTTCTGTGCTTTTCACCAAATGCAATATCTTAGCACTTAATAACACACTTCAAGATATTGGTTAAAATTACACAGTGTAGCTACTTCTCTRGTTTAGAGAAATTGAAAGCATGAATTCATGGAGCGTTTACCTGGTTTGAGGTGAGCAAATGGAATTTCCCCCGTTAGGAGCTCCCAGAGGCACAGGGCGTAGCTGAAGACATCGGCTTTGATGGTGTACCTGGTGCACTGGGTGAACACCTCGGGGGCCATCCAGCGCAGGTTCTGCACAGCAGCAAACAAAAAACACACATTAGCAGGGTTTGCTTCCTATTRCAAGCACTTACTCCCTTATTTGTGTGTTTGTTTTCTTTTGTTTTCTTATTTCCTGCCTACATCACTCCATRAAATAACTGGTAATCTGCCAGGAAATATCTTCAGCTGGCTTGCAGAATCCAGTCAGTGTGTTACTGCATTAGCTTGGTGCTATCCCAGCTTCCTAGAGCCAGGCTGGGCAGGCTTTGAACACTGCAGCACGGTGAGAATGAACAAAGAACCCCATGCTCAGGGTCTGGAGAACACCTCATAAGGTATGAGGGACACGTGCACATGTGCCACACAATGGGAATTAACTGCTGCTCCACTGGTGGCAGGAGAAGCTGCACTGGACTGGTCCTGCTCTCGTGGGGTCTGGCAACACAGGACACATCTGGACTTAAAGCCATGAGGATAACAACTGTCCTGTAAATCTGTGAGCAATGGGCTGTTGTGAAGAAAAGAGCTGTGAAATAGGGGAATCAGTGCTGAGTAACCAATTCCTTGTTAGAAAAAGGAACCACCTGCCAACAGCATGTGTGTGAGTGGGGAAGTGTGGATTAAAAATGACTTTTAGTAAGGAATTGGGGAAACAGAGTTCCAAAGGSAACCTTATAAAGCATTGTTTTCTATTGCAGATGTTATATATTCCCTCATCTCTGCTATTAGAAAGAGGAAAAAATAAAACCAAGACAGAGAAACATTGAGAGAGATGAAATACTCCACCAGTCCATCTTTTCCAACAAACACATTTCCGATGCCTTCTTCTCTTAAACTGTGTTTCCCTGCATGTTTGATTTTAATGATGTGGAACAAAAGAAGAAACAAACCCCAGGTTGTTTTGTCATGTTGTCTTCATCCAGGGATTGCAGAAATCGAGATTCTGAAACACAGCAAGGAGAAGAATTACTGTCAGGCCAATAGAGACACACACCTCGTTATGCAAAAGCCCTGCCTTAAGCACAGTCCCACAGGATCCTCTCAGTCAACACACGTTTAGTTTTAGAGAATTTGGGTTAATTTAGAAATGTTTCATAAAAGCTCCTTACCTCCAAAATCAGCAACCACTGCATGACCATCCTCATACAGGAGAATATTGTGACTGGGGAAGAAAAAAACCTGTAGGTAATTGTTTGATAGTGTCTTCAAGATGGTGAAAATGTTATYGTTTTTGGGTCATAGTAAGTGCTTGAGTGCTTCAAATCACCTCCTTGGGCAGTTAAATGTTTGTAAGTATATCTCATGTTTATTGTTAGAAAGTGCACATTACCCTGAGAGGGCAAACCCAAAGCTTCAGAAATGATAATGTCAGCTTCCAATCAAGATCAGCAAAACAGCTTCTATAATTAGTTACAGTTTGGTACCTGCAGTAGAAAATACACCCCACAGAAATRAAGCTTGGAAGGTACAGCTTAAAAATGCTGCAATTGCCTCAGTGGCACCCGAAAATTGGAAAATAGGACTCTTAACCCTGTGTTTCAGAAATACAGCCAGAAAAATCCAAGTTGATTAATCCTGAGTTTCGCAGAATCAGAAGTTGTCTTCTGTTAAAGTCACCCAGGAATTGCCACAGTGAGAGTGGGCATTTTCTCTTCAGGAAACCACAAAAGGAAGAACACAAGACCAGACCAAGGAGTGTGCAATAATCCTGGCTTTKGAAAGGATCTGGTTCTGGGGTCTGCCAGCTACAAGCACAGCACATCCCTTCCCAGGGATTCAGGCCTTTCAAAGATCCCTCTGCCTTTAACGTGCTGTGGGTGTRATGAAAAGGAATGGATATTTTAGGATTTCACAAGGGATATTTCACAAAAAGAGTCCCATTCTCCATCCCCATTACTGCCATCCTCCCTCTCATCTCCTCACCAAGCAGCTCTCACAAGTTTCAGACAGTCAGAGCCATCAAATGCAGGTCAGTCCCTCAAAGGCTTGCTCCAGCCACCTTCAGCTCTCATGGCTTAAATTCAATTGATACTAAAATGGTCTTTCTTTAATAAAAGGCTGTAATCATTGTGACTGCCATCCCTCACCATGGTGTGAGCAGTAACAGGCTGATGCATGGCACCATTGCTGAGAGCTGTCAGAAGTGAAAAGCAAAATAAAACTCCCAATTATTCTTCAAATGGAAGGATAACCCCTTTTCCAGGGTACAGACATGAAAGATTAATTTTCTTCTCTCTTCTGTCAAGATATATTGTAGGTTTATTTAATGCATTATGTGCAGTGCATTATATTTCAGAACTCACAAAGGTGATTATGAGTTATGTGAAAATTTAAGTTAAAAATATGAGTCTCCTGTGAAGCCTCTGGCAAAACTTAACACGGAATTTCACTCTTAGTGTTTCTTTTAAGTTGTTGTAATGATTTTCATGTGGTAATTGTGTCTGTGGGCTGGCTGGGGCTCATGCTGCAAACACAACTCCTGCTCTTGCACTGAAGTTTCACAAGTTGAGCTCTCCCAGCAGCACACATCAATGGCACCAGTGTCCCTACAGCAAATTATCTTCTGACCCTCACAAATACCATCTGGATGAGTTCTGTGGGGCAATTACAGCTTTCTGGCTCTCTAGAAGGATCCTGGTTTGGGTTTTCTTTGSTGGAAATCAGAGATTCAGAAAAACAGATGCAGGAAAACTCTGCTTTTCAGTGACTGCAGCCTTCAAGGACAATCACAATCTGGCAGCCCTGACTACAGGAGTTTATATAAAACCTCTGAGATTATTTTCAGTTGAGTTCTGTGATGAGATGAGATGCTGTGGGTTACAGGAGACTGCAGTGTCCCTGTGGTTCGAGCTTTCATGTCCCCTGAATTTTAAGCTTAAAGACAGAAACCAACCTGTTCAAATCCCGATGTATGATGGGCTGGGTCAGATTGTGGAGGTACTCCATGCCTTTGGCCACATCTACAGCAATAATTAATTTAGACTGCAGATCAAGAATTCTGTATTCCGTAAAAAAATGAAAATTACTTGAAGTTAATAAATAGTTGCAAATTATTCTTATCTGTAGATCACAGAATCTTTAAAATTGTTTTACATACAAAATAATGCTATATAATCTATGCAAAGTAAATCTATATATTGTAAAATAATGACAATAACTTTGTGATTACTTACCAATTTACCTAGTATACCCAAGAAACTGAACCAGAGCTCAACATTTTCTAGTGTGTTCCCTCCTCCATTGTTTTATAGTGAAATGGAGACTGCATCAGCACAGATTTCCTGCTCTCCCAGATTCTGCATGGCAGGAGGATGAGGGCAGTACCTCTTCTGCTCGTGGAGCAGGGAGAAGAGCGAGCCCCCCGAGATGTACTGGGTGACAATGGCAAACTGGCTGGGGTCATCCAGGCAGGCTCCCACAAACTGGATCACACAGGGGTGGTTCAGGCGGCACAGGATGGAAACCTCCCTGCAGAACATGTCCACGTCCGATTTGGAACAGTAGGTGTTGGCTCGATAACTGRCAATCAACGTGGAAAAAAGACAAAAGTATCATAAAATATGGGCTTTTAAAAGACTTCAGGTCATTGACAAAACAGGATGGAAAAGCCTGACAAACTCACCGTTTGATTGCCACAATTTTATTTCTACATCGGCCCTTATAGACTTTCCCAAARGACCCTAAAAATGGTTTAAAAAAATSAGCACAAATCWGTTTGTYATGAGCATCAGACATYTGAGGWGGGTGCAGTTTGAYKGGTGGTACCTGAGCCGATGATCTCGTGGAACTCGATCTCCGAGAGCTGCAGGTGGAAATGCGACGGCAAAGCCGCGCGGAGGAGCAGCACATCAGCCTTTTCTGCAAGAGAAACACCACATCAGCCTTTTCTGCAAGAGAAACACCACATCAGCCTTTTCTGCAAGAGAAACNCTCACCCCGTGTGGAAAACAGGGGAGCACCAAGAATAAAAGCACTGAACCCTTGCAGTGGGAAAGCTGATTTTCCCTGTAAATTGAGTGCTGATTCTGCTCCTTCCCCAATAAACCCCACTGATGACACATCTGCAGCACCACTGATCCCTTGGGTGCTCCTTTAGCACAGCAGCCACCAGCGTGTCCCACATTCCCAAACTCATGGCATGGCAGCACAAAATCCCTCACATGGAGAATGAATTCCTTATTTCTGTGCAGCCATTGCTCATTGCTGCTGCTGGGGATGCTATTCCAGAACTGAACGGCTCTTGGTGACATCAGCAATCTGAACTTTGCAATTAAATTTAGCTGAGAAACATCTCTATCTGATCCTTTTGTTTATTACTAAAAAGTTTATCAGAATATTTCTAAGTGAAGCATTTTGATGCTTCTACGTAAAGGATGTAAGGTTTTGCTTATACCCCAAGTGAAAATTTAAAGCAGAAAATTGAAAGTACTACATAAAAAAAAGAGGAAATATCTTAAAATACAAATATTTACCTGCATGTTTTAACTGTATTTGTTTCAGAGTAATACAATTTTTTACAGAATTTTTGTTGTAAGGGTAATCCAGGCATTTTACTGTGTGATTTAATATATTTATTAGCATTCATGGATAAGTGGGTATTTCATTAGTGCTATTTCACATCACAGGCTTCTCTCAAAGAAATAAAAAGAAATTTTTTAAAAGTAAGTGTAAAAAAAAGCAAATACAGGAATTGTCATTATGCTGAGTAACAGAACTAAGTGTATTGTTTCCTAAARTTATCCCAGGGAAATGGAACAATGAGCAATAGAAATTCCAGGAATAATGAGTCCTGTGTAGGATGTTCAGGCTGACAAACACATTGGATAAAAAGAACCACAARAGTTCAAGTTTTCCCTGTCATTGCAAATACCTTTTGTCATGCTTTTAATCTTCCCCAGAGGGGATGGCACTGACACGTAGGAACCGTCTGAAATAAAGAACAGAGTGAAATTTATGGAGATCAGTGACAGCATAAGTGTTAGTGCTGATAAACCAGTGAGTCAATAACAGCTGAAAGAATGGAAAATAAAGGGTGAGAATTCAGATAAAACACAAACAGAGCTGATGGGAGCTGTTTGGTCTGGGGTACCATTGATGCTCTTCACCATTCCAGCACAGATCAGTGTTGTATCCCTGCAGGGCTCTGTGGATGGCTGCACCACTGCACTGTGCTGTTTGCTCACAGTGTTATGGGAGCCAACTCAGCCTTTCCATCCACTCCATGGTGTAAAGGAGCTCTGCAGGATTCCCAAACTGCACTGGGAACACTGCACTGGGAACACTGCACTGCTTAGTTCATCGGTGACACTTCTTCATAGCAGAGATTTCATCCCTTTTTTCTGCTCAAGCAATTTTAGAAATCAAGCATTATGAAATATTTCTGTGTGTGCTAATTGCTTGCCAAAACAGTTTCTGTTACACCTGTAAGATCAGTCCCCTAAAGATTTACCCACACTTGAGCTACACCACCCCTAAACCTGGAACAGGCAAATGATTGAGGGAGCAGGCTGATGCTGCTGCTGGCTGGGGGCTCCTCCTGTTTGCACACCTGGAGCATGACCTGGGCAAGCTGCAGTGTACAGCATCCTCATCCCCATCCCCATCCTCATCCTCACCCCCATCCTCATCATCCTCATCCTATCCTCATCCCCATCCTCCTCACCTCATCCTCATCCTCCTCATCCCCATCCTCACCTCATCCTCCTCATCCTCATCCCCATCCCCATCATCCTCATCATCCTCACCCCCATCCTCTCCCAGGCAGTTCTCCAACACATGGCCACAGGTTTTGTTTAATCTAACTCACTTCCTGCCTCTTTCATTTAGTCACCAATAGAAATGAGTATTTTCATAGCAAAATGGATAATTAATTCTTCCAATGGGTGCATTTAACATCCAGAGATATTAAAAAGTATTGAAAAACAAAATGTCAACAATCAAAGAAACACCAGGACTGAACAGCACAAAGRGAACAGCTATGGAAGGCTGTTCAGGACATGGAGAGGTGTGAGCAGTGATTGACAGGGACTGATCTTTGAGCTCCTCCTTCTATGAGTAAAACAAACTGACAWCTTTAATTTAAATAACAGAAGAGTAAATTAAATGTACCCAGAAAGTGGTGAGCCCCATGACAATGATTTTCCTTGTACCAGACAGAACTGACCCAAAGCTCTCTGGCACGGGTGGAGCATTTCCAGAGATTTCAGCACTCTTTGGATCAGCCCTTTGGCTCGAGAGTAAAAGGATTGCTCAGCCCTTACCTCCTCCAGGCTGGGAGTATTCATTGCAGGGGGATTCATCCTGGGGTCTCTTGTAATGCTTCAGGAGGGTCACAATGGCATCGTGACCTGGGTGAGAAAGAGGAAATACAAGCATTACTAGGTAACTCAAAAGACTTCTTATTTTCTTTTTTTTTTTTTTTTTCACAAATGGAAAGGCGTGAGTTTATAACCCTTGTGCCATTCCCAGTGAGCAGATGGTGAGAGCACTCACTGTCTGCAGGCACTGCTGGGTTATTTTGCAGAGTTCTCTCCTTCCATGCTGCCCTTTCCTTCCTGCACAGCTCCTGTGGATTTTGTAGCAGAAACTAGAAAATTGAAATACCTTTCTCATAGGCCCACATCAAACAGGTTTGTTCATCCTTTTCTCCACTGGACCTGCTGGGATCACACGCTACCAGATTCATATCAGCTCCGTTATCCAGCAGGAACTGCACCAGGCGAATGTGGCCGTGGTAGCAAGCGCAGTGCAGACCTGGAATATCAGAGAAATGTGGGAACACAGCACTGAGAACATGGCAATATGACTGCAGTGCAACCCTGGAACATCAGAGAGGTGTGGAGCACAGTGCAATCCTGGAACATCAGAGAAATGTGGGAACACAGCACGAGAACATGGCAATATGACTGCAGTGCAGACCTGGAACATCAGAGAAATGTGGGAGAGCAGTGCAATCCTGGAACATCAGAGAAATGTGGAGCACAACCCTCAGAACTGGAACATCAGAGAGATGTGGGAGCACAATCCTCAGAACATGGCAATGACTGCAGTGCAATCCTGGAACATCAGAGAGGTGTGGAGCACAACCCTCAGAACATAGCAATATGACTGCAGCAGCAACTGCAAACTGATCTCCTTGATAAACAAATATTGTCAARAAAACACCTGAGGCAAGAGGTGCAAATGAAACAGAAAGGTGGCAAGAACCAATCTATTGCCTGTGCACAATGTGCCACCATTTACTGTGCCACCAGAAAAACACCTTCAGCGACTCTGTGTGTGAGAAAAAGCAAGTGGAAACAGAGGCAGGTATTTGTACTGGAGGCAGGAAGGGGTGCAGCCCCTCAGACACCACAGCCCAGCAGCCTAATTCCTCACCTAATAACTTCTAACACTATTTAGAAGCCTCACCATAGGAGGAACAGYTTATACCAGGTTTTGTTGCTCATRACCCAAACAAGCCTGATGCATYCTCACTGAAGTCTGATCACTTCTAYACCTCTGTAAAAATATYTCAGGAAAGCTGGGCTCTGCCTGAAAGGTACTGGAATTAGCCTGGGTAAATCCTGATGGTGTTTCACTGCCCAGCATTCTGGTGCTGGTACACACCCTCACACACAATAAGTACAGTGATGTTACCTGTGTGCCCATCTCTTCCCTGGTGATTGATGCTTACAACATTCTGGTCAAGMAGAAACTTCACAAGTTCTATGTTCTT